GGCTTTCTGTTGGAAGTGACAGAAACAGGGCATGGTGAGCTTCATGAAAATACCAGAGGTCCGAGTGACCCACTGGGTGTTGGCGGTGGACAGGGGAGTGAGGTCTGTGAATCTGCCTTCTCAGATCCTGTGGAATTCGGGGACACCATCCTGTCTGTTGAGTTGTGTGGAGACAGGTAGACAGTTTCTGGCTGGTCACGAGGGTCGCACCGGACCGCCACCAGAGGTGCAGTCTGCGGTGGGAGCCACTGCTTAGTTTCCATGAAAACTGAATGGGGTCTGTGACTACAATTCCTAGCAGCCGCATGGGGAGAGGAGGGCAGTGGTGGTGCCCAGTTCCTAGGGTTGTGGTCAGGACTAGCTTGGAGCCCACTGAAGTGAGACACGCCTGGCACAGAAGGTACCCAGTCACTGTAGCTGTGGGCACTGTGCCCATGGCACTTTCGTGCGGGCCAGCTCCCCTGCTGCCGCCTCCTACTTTTCATCATCTACATGTTCATGAGCCTCATTTCTTCCCATGGCCTCTGGGGTATTGCCCTCCCTCCATCTGGCCCTCCTCCTCTTCCTTGTGCAACCCGATGCCAGGGTAGCCTTCTCGAGAGTCAGCTCTGGCCGTGTCAGCCCCTGGATGGAAGAGTTCCATGGATCCCCTGTGAGGCGAGGATGATGCCCTGCCCTGGAAGGGGCCTGCAGATCCCCAATCAGGAGAACCACATCTCCATTTTCAGCCTGGCCTGCCCTCCCCTAAGTCTTCCTCAGGGAAGCTCTCCCCACTTCCTGAGCTGACAGCTCTTAAATTAAAAATGAATATTTTGTTACATTTCTCAGTGACTTAGCTCACTCTTGGCATGTCTTTCAAAACTGTTAGTGGGTTTTCAGCAGTCCCGGAAGGATGTTTGCACAAGAAGGGGATGACCTGGGAGGGTAAGCCTTACCCCCACCTCCCTCAGCATGTCCCTGAGCCCTTGAGCCATCTGTCCCACTGAGGGATGAGGGACCCGAGCCAGCCCATCCTGAGCCCAGGCTCTGTGTCAGCTGTGTAGACTGATGTTTGCCAGGAGCGGTGGGTAGCTGGCACAGGCCAGGAGCAGGCGGTTTCTCCTTCTCATTCCTCCACACCCCTCCCTCCCAGAGGTAGCTCCGAGTAGCCTCCAAACCTTGCATCTCGAAATCCCTTGACCTGTGCCTCCTGCCTTCAGCTGGTGAACTTGGTGGTTTCCCGTTGCTTCTGCCTCCCATACCGGCTCCCAGGGCGGGTCCTGGATCAGGGGAGTGGTCACACCATTGTCTGTGGTTGGTCCTCTTCCTGTCCCGCACTGAGCCCTCCCACCTTTGCGTCTTCCATGTATGGGCTTGGAAGCAAGCCCATCCACAGGGAACCTATTTGCCCCATGGATCCAGGTAATGACCATTGAATTAGAGATCCAGGATATGTCACAAACCTGCTCTAAAACCTGTCCCACACTCTGTGACCATCTCACACTAAAACAGAAAGAGTAATAGCTTCCTGGACTGGGAAGTTGCATCTGTCTCTACTTAAACTCTTGAATGCATAGGTGCCGAGCCTGGACAGAAAGGGACCATGGCTCCCGTGGGCTAGGATCAACAGGTAAAGGATAAGAACTCTGAAATTTGAATTCGAGGCACAGAGTGAATAATGATTTTAGAGTAAGTACTCCCAAGTAGGGCTTATGAACTATGCACAGCAAAAGCTATTTGAAAGTTAACTTTCAAGCTTTGCGCAGTGGCAGTATCGTAGCCAATGAGGTTTATCCGAGCGCGATTATTGCTAATTGAAAGTTAACTTTCAAATAGTTAACTGAAAGAAAAACCTTTTTTTTTATTTTTAATTTTAATTCCAGTAGAGCTAACATACACTGTTATTTTAGTTTCAGGTGTATAATTGACGGATTCAGTAATTCTATACATTCCTCAGTGCTCATCAGGAAAATTGCCCTTAATCCCCTTCATCTGTTTCACTCATCCCTCCATCTACCTGCACTGTGGTCACCATCCATTTGTTCTCTATTTTTAAGAATCTGTATTTTGGTTTGTCTCTTTTTTCTCCTTTATTTAAGTATGTTTCTTAAATTCTACATAAGAGTGACATCATATGCTATTTTTTTCTCTGACTGATTTCATTTAGGATAAAACCCTCTAGCTCCATCCGTGTGGCTACAAATGGCAGGATCCCATTCTTTAAATGGCTGAGAAGTATTCCACTGTGTGTGTGTGTGTGTGTACACACATCACTCACCTATTTATCAGTTTATCAACAGACACTTGAGTTGCTTCCAGATTGTGATATTGTAAATAATGTTGCAAGAAACATAGGGGTGCATGTATCCTTTGGAGTTATTGTGTTCATATTCTTTAGGTAAACACCCAGTAGTGTAAACGCTGGATCATAGGGTAGCTCTGTTTTTAACATCTTGAGGAACCTCCGTACCGTTTTCCAGAGTGACTGCACCAGTTTGCATTCCCATCCACAGTGCACGAGGGTTCCCCTTTATCCGCATCCTCCCAACACCTGTTGATTCTTGTGCTGTTGAAGTTGCCCATTCTGACAGTATGAGGTAATATCTCATTGTACTATTGATTTGCATTTTCCTGATGATGGGTGATAATGAGCATCTTTTCATGTAATTGTTGGCCATCTGTATTTCTTTGGAGAAATATCTGTTCATTTTTCTGCCTATTTTTTAACTGGATTAATTGGTTGTGGGGTGTTGAGTTGTATCATTTCTCTATATATTGGACACTATCCCTTTATTGCCTATGATGTTTGCAAATGCCTTCTCCCTTTCAGTAGGTTGTCTTATTATTACTACTTTTCATTGTTCTTCTGCTGTGAGGAAACTTTTAATTTTGATGTAGTCCCAATAGTTTATATTTGCTTTGGTTTCCTTTGCCTCAGGAAACAGTCTAGAAAAATTTTGCTATGGTCCATAACAAGAAGTTACAGTCTGTGCCCTTTTGTAGGATTTTTATGGTTTCAGGTCTCACATTGAGGTCTTGAAACTGTTTTGAGTTTTTTTGTCTGTATGGTGTAAGAAAGTGGTCTAATTCCATTCTTTTGTGCATAGCTGTCCAGATTTCCCAACACCTTTTGCTGTAGAGACTGTCCTTTTGCCTTTAGATATTCTTGCCTGCTTTGTGGAAGATTAACTGACCACATAACTGTGGGTTTATATCTGAGCTTTCTGTCCTATTCCCATGGTCACAGTGTCTATTTTTGTGCCAGGACCATACTGTTAGGAAGACTACAGCTTGTAGTATCTCTTGAAATCTGGAATTGTGACTCTTCCAGCTTTGTATTTATTTTTTAGGATTGCCTTAGCTGTCCAGTATCTTATGTGGTTCCATCCAAATTTTTAGATTGCTTTTTGAGTTCTCTTTGTTTAACTCATAGTATATCATTAGTTTCAGATGTAGTGTTCAATAATATATCAGCTGTGTATGACACCCAGTGCTCATTCCTTCACATACTCTCCTTAATGGCCATCACCCAGTTAGCCCATCTCCCCATCCCCCTCCCTTCCCGCAACCATCAGTTTGTTTCTATAGTTAGGAGTCTCTCATGGTTTTTCTCCCTCTCTGATGACATCCCATTCAGTTTTCCCTTTCTTCCCCCATGATCCTCTGTGCTGTTTCTTGTATTTCCCATATGAGTGAAACCATATGACAATTGTCTTTCTCGGATAGACTTATTTTGCTCAGCATAATACGCTCCAGTTCCATCCAGGTTGATGTGATGGTAGGTTTTCATCCTTTCCGATGGTTGAATAATATTCCATCATAGATATACACCACACCTTCTTATCCATTCATTCTCTCCGTGGACATCTGGGCCCTTTCCATATTTCGGTTATAGTGGATATTGCTGCTGTGAACGCTAGGGGGGGCAGGTGCCACTACTTTCTTCTAAACCTGTATTTTTTGGGTAAATATCCAGTAGTGCAATTGCTGGGCCATAGTATAGCTCTATTTTTAACTTCTTGAAGAAACTTGATACCATTTTACAGACTGGCTGTACAAGATTGCATTCCCAACAGCAGTGTAAGAGGGTTCCCGTTTCTATGCATCTTCGCCAACATTTGTGGTTCACTGACTTGTTAATTGTAGCCAATTTAAATGGTGTAAGGTGGTATCTCATTGTGGTTTTGATTGTACTTCCCTGATGGCTAGTGATGTTGAGCACTTTTTCGGGTGTTTGTTGGTCGGTTGTAAGTCATCTTGGAGAAAGGTGTGTTCATGTTCACACACATATCTTGAGCTAGGGTTACGGAGTGGGCCCAGTGCGTGGAAGATATGATCTGTTGAGGTGTAGAGATTTCACAGATGTCTGATATGAGGGCTAGAATTAGGGAGATATCAGGCTCTGGGTTTGTATTCAGTACTGTATTAAATTATATCTAAGCAGGGAATGGCTCAAGATTTCATCCAGGTTTCTCTTGCTCTAAATCATTTCTGGATTTCCAAGATGCATGATTTCACACGTTGTTGAAGGATGAGTCCTCTGGTATTCCTCATATGTCCCCATCCCTGCGGCTTGGGAGACAGGCCTCTGGGGGTGGTCATTTAAGAACCCAACATAGAGTTAGGGTTAGGGCCCAAGAAGTTGGATGGTCTAATCTGCCAACTTTGTGGTGAGCTTGCTGGAGGGCTGCTCTGTGGCCTTGGGTGAGGGTGAGTGTCAGGCTCAGGATAGATGGCCAGGGGACTGACGAAAGTGCAGGTTTACTGGGATGGGCTCAGGGGGGCCTTCATATTTCTCCTGCTCTGAATCGTTCCTGGTGTTCCAAATGGCATGGGTTCATTTGCCGCCTTCCTGCAAACACTGAGCCTGACAATCACTGTGACCCATGCCCTCAACTCCGTCTGCGTCCCCTGGTATTGGTTAGGTTTCCCCAGTCCAAGGGGCTAAGGAGTCAGGCCTCTGGGACAGACTCCTCAGAACCCAACCCTCAGTTAGGGTTAGGGCACAGGGGCATGGCAGCTCTGAACTGCCATGTGGTGAGCTTTTCGGGGGTCTGATTTGTGGGCGTGGGTCAGGGTGAGTGTCAGGCTCAGGGTTTTCGGCTAGGGTGCCACTGAAAGTGGGGGTTCACTGGGATGCATTGCCGAATTCTCCTACTCTGAATCCATTCTGGATTTCTGAATGGCGCAGTTTCCTTCTGGGTTGCAGGCTGAGTTCTGATATTGCTTTGTTATCCCTAATCCATGGGGGCATTGGTGCCAGGCTTCTGGGAACATAACCTTCAGAAGCCAATCTAGGGTTAGTGTTAGGCACAAGAGTCCTGGCTGGCCAGATCTGCTGGCGCTATGGCGAGCTTCTCAGGGGGCTGAGTTGAGGGCATGGGTCAGGGTGAGAGTCAGAATCAGCATTTGGAACCAGAGGGCCAGTGAATGTGGGGGATCAATGGGATGGGCATGCAGATTTCCCCTGGTCTGAATCATTTTGGGAGTTAGAAATGGCTCGGTTTCCCTGTCAATGGCTGACTAAGTTCTCTGGTATTGCTCTGGTGAACCCAATCCCCAGGAATTTGGAGCCAGACCTCTGATTACAGACTCCTATTAATCAAACTAGGTTTAGGGCATGGGGCATGGCAGGCCCGATCTGCCTGCGCTATGGCAAACTTTCCAGGGGGTTGAGTTGAGGGCATGGGTCAGGGTGAGTGTCATTCTCAGTGTATAGTGGTCAGGATACTTTGAAAATCAGGGTTCGCTGGGATGGACATGCAGATTTCTCCTGCTTTGAATCCTTTCCAGGGTACCAAATGCTGTGGTTTCCTTCTGGATGGCATGCTGATTCTTCCAGTATTGCTCAAATGTCACCTCTATGGGACTTTGGAGCCAGGCCTCTGGGGACAGAACCCTCAGAAGCCAGCTTAGGCTTTGGTTTAGGGCTTTGTGTCTTGGCAGCCCCAATCTGCCAACACTGTTGGGAGCTTCCATGGGGCTGAGTTGAGGGCATGGGTCAGGGTGTGTGTCCAGCTCAGGCTTGCTGTCAAGGGGCCACTGAAATTAGGGGTTCGTTAGGATGGCCATTCAGGGTTCTCTTCTTTTCAGTCCTTTCCAGACTTCCTAATGGCAGGGTTTCCTACTAGGTGGTAGCCTGAGTTTTCTGGCATTGCTTTGTGACCCCAATCCATGGGGATTTGGAGCCAGTCTTCTGGGGAGAGACACATCAGTCCCTATTCCAGGGTTATGGTTAGGGTCTATGGGCATGCAGGTCTGATTAGCCGTTGCTGTGGTGATCTTTCTGTGGGGTTGAGTTGAGGTCGTGGGTCAGGGTGATTGTCAGGCTCAGTGTTTGTGGGTAAGGAACTAATGAAAGTGGGGATTCGTTGGGATGGGCATGCAGATTTCTTCTACTCTGAATCATTTCTGGTGTTTCAAATGCCATCAGTTTGTACTGAAGGGCATGCTGAGACCTCTGGGATTGCTCCATTGTCCCGAATCCCTGGGGCTTTGGAGCCAGGCCTCTAGGGACAAACCCCTCAGAAGAAAACCTAGGGTTAGGGTTAGGGCCCAGGTGCCAGCAGGCCAGATCTGCCTGCGCTGGGCAGAGCTTCCTGGGGGTCTGAGTTGAGAGAGTTGATCACTGTGTGTGTCAGGCTCAGAGTTTGTGGCCAGAGGGCCACCAAATATGAGGGTTCGATGGGATGGGCTTGAACAGTTCTCAGCTCTGAGTCCTTTACGGAGTTCCAAAAGGCAAGGTTTCTTTTTGATGGTTAGCTGAATCCTCTGGTATTGCTCAGGTGACCCCAATACCTAAGGTTTTGTAGCCAGACATCTGGGGATAGACCCATCAGAACCCAATCTAGGGTTAGGGTTAGGGCCTTGAGGCATACTTCTCTTGATATGCCAGCAATGT